TTGTGACCACGCCCCGACTCCAGCCCTAAGGACCGCCCTCGGCGAGTTGATGCGCTCGCCCCGACCATCTGGCATCTTGTGGTCTCGGGGTTTGGGGGCCGGTCGCAGGGTTTGGGGGTGGTCTCGCTCTCGGCTCAGATGCGGAGCCCTCAGCCTGCCCTGCCGTTGGGCTGGGGAGTTGCAGCCAGTGGGGGTGGCACCCAGGACAAAGGCGGCAAACTTGGCACACCCACGGCGCCCTGCAGGCGCATGAGGCTGGCCTCGGGTAGGCCCTGCTGCGGGCGACCGCCCTCCAGGGGCATTTTGCCTGAAAGCCATGATCAGTCTGGGCCTGGAGTGCCCGCTGTCGCGTCGGCTTGGGAAGGCTGGGTCATCCCTTCCAGGGGGTCCCCCTAGTTCTCACCCCGCCCACCAGGCAAGGCCCCTTAGGCTCACTGTGCCCCTGGCTCCCCCATCTGGTGACCAGGCGCAGGTGGCAGCAAGTGCGGAGCAGCTTCCTGCCTGCCCATCACTGCACTCATCACACCCCCTTGGGCAGGGCCTCCTCCTGCTCCCTCCTGCCAGGATCTGCCAGGCACTGCCCCTCCATCTCGATCTCCGACCTCTGCCGCACCCCGGCTGTAATGCAGCCCCCAGGGCCCCTCCCGCCGGGCTGACCCTCGCCCTCCTCCCTCCTGCCGCACTGCCTTCCAGGCCCATGGGGCTCAGGCAGGGCTTGGCACTGAGTTCCAGGGTCCCAGCAGGAGGGCCGCACCAGGCTTCAGGAGAGTGGCCTGCCCCTCTGCGGGCGCCCTAGGAGGAGGCAGGAATCCACCTGCAGGGCGAACCTCCTGGGGCCGGGCTGGGCCTGCAGGAACCCCCCCCTTCCCCTCTGACCGCCGGCTGAGGAGGCAGCTTGGGCTCCAGCTGGTCAGCCCCGTGAGGGTAGGAAGAAACCTGGTTCTGCCCACCGGACAGGAGTCCTGCAAAGTGTCTCTCTAGGGCCACTGTCTCTAGCTTGGGAGAGGGAGGTGGCAGGCTTCCAGGCCCAAGGTCACCAAGGACAGGGTGAGGACGTGGCTCCAGGCTGGCACCCTGAGCCTCTGCCAGGAAAGGCTGCAGTGCTCTCCTGGTGCCCGGCACGGTGCTGGGCTGCGGGCACATCTGGAGCTCCCAGGTACCTCTCCTGGGCCAGGGTGGGGGGCGGCTTCCACTTTGAAGGGCCAGTGGTCCCCAGAGGCTGAGTCTGGACTCAGTTCAGAAAAGGGAACCCAACTCATGCGCTGGCTCCCCCGGGCCCTGGCTGGTGTCCCCCAGATTAGCTCCCTCCTTGCTGGGGGTCACCTGGGATCCGGGATCTGGTGAGGAGCAGAGGGGGCTAAGCTAAGTCCCCCCTCCTACCCCTCCCGGGGCTTTGGAGTCTCCTCCCCTTCTCGCTCCCCCTGGGCCTCTCTGGGTCCTGGCCAGTCTGACTGCTCCAGCCCAGCCCTGCCCGGCCGGTTGTCCCCCAAGTGCTCCAGGCACCACCCTCCAGGAGGCCCCCCTGAGGCCCCTGGGAGCCGGGGCACCTCACGACTTGTGGGCTGCCCTGTCTGTGGTGGCGGGCGGGCTGCCTCCCCAGGGCTGTCCCCCGGTCCCACACTGTACTCATGTGCCCGCTGTCGCCCCCACACACACCTGCACACAGGGTCACATGGAAGGTTTATTGGCAGACCTGCCTACCACGGGGCAGGTGTGGGCGGGCTGGGGGCTGAGGGCTCAGGCCGGAGCAGGCTGTGGCAGGACTGGCCCAGCTGCTGGTTCCGAGTGGGCTGCCGGGAGCCGCACTGTGGGGTCACACAGAGGGCTGCCCAGCACGGGGCGCCAGCTCCCACGCCTGTGGGTGGCCTGGTCTGGACCACAGACCGGGGAGGGCCGCGAGGGTGGGCAGGGGGTCTAGGGCTCCGCGGCGAGAGCCGTGTGGCTTCAGGGACCGGCCAGCACCTGGGCCACAAAGAAGACCTTGTACGTCTCCTTCACGTCGCCCCTGAGCTGCAGCAGGGCGGACGCCATCCACGGAGCCCTTGGACGGCTCGATGGTGAAGCCCTTGTGCTGCAGGGACGCCAGGCTGTCCAGGCTGAACTCCACGGTCTGCGGGCAATGGGGCTGCTGGCGCCGCAGGCAGGCCTCCGCCCGCCCGCCCAGCCCGGCCCGCGGGCCCCTCCCACCGTGCAGGGCGA